ATCTTGTCAGCTCCTACTATGTCAGCTGTCATCTCTATGCAAGTGATTCTCGTACTTATTTGTCCACCTCTAACCTCTCTCCTGACCTCTAGTCTTTCATTTCCAGCTGCCTATTGGACATTTCAAACAATATATTTTATTAACATCTTAAATTCAACATGTCCAAAACATAACTTATCTTCCCCCCCCCCCAAACTCTCCCTTCATTCAGACTTCCCTATTACTGTCAAAGGTATCATCATCCTCTCTAGTCATCCAGGCTCACAACCTCTCATGTGTCATCTTCAACTCCTTACTCTCTCCTACTGCCCCCCCCCATTTGTTACCAAAATCTGTCGATTTTACTTTCTTAACATCTCTTCTATCTCTCCTTTCACCACCATCACCCTGCATTCAGGTACTTATTCTATACTATTGCAAGCCTACTGCAATAGTCATGCTGGTTAGTCTCTCTGCCATGTCTCTCCACACTATTTTCCATCCTCCACTCAGCTATCAAACTAAAGCACAAGTTTGATCATGTCACCCCTACTATTAATTCAATTCTAGTGGCTCCCCTTTGCCTCCAGGATCTAATAAAAAATCATGCTTGACTTTTAAAGCCCTCTATAACCTGGTCACTTTCTGGTCTTCTTACTCCTTACACCCCAGCATATACTATGCAGTTGAATGACACTGGCCTCCTGACTCCAGGGTCCTGTGGATTTCTTGAGAGAGGGCTTAGCTCCTACTGCCTTCAGAGCCTTGCAGGCTCTTTATGTATTTCTGGCCTTTTTTTGGTCACATAAGAGCCTACCAGCCTGCGGTGGTGCTGGCTTTGCTAACTGTCCCCCTTTCTTATTGCCTGTAGGCTTTTGGATGACTTTCTTTGCAGTTCTAACATGGAAAAAGAACTTAATATAGTTTCTCGTATTTCTTGATCATTATTTGGTCTAATCCACATTTCAAGTTTTTGTTAGAACAGCTATGTGGGACTTGGGTCTCTTGAAACAACCATCTTGGCCAGAAGTCTAACCTATAGTTTTTAAACTCCATGCTCTTCACTTTCTTTTTTTTTCAGTGAGGAAAGCATTTCTTCTTTAGTTCTCTAGGATCCCTTTTATTCTCTACAGGCTCAGCAATCACTGGCAGTGACTTAGTAGTCATATCTGCAACTATAACAGCAATAAAAAAAGAACCTAGACATTATCTTTCAAGAAATTATCAGGGAAGAGGGGCAGCTAGGTGGCACAGTGGATAGAGCACCAGCCCTGAAGTCAGGAGGACCTGAGTTCAAATCCGACCTCAGACCAACACTTGACACTTACTCACTGTGTGACCTTGGGCAAGTCACTTAACCCCAATTGCCTAAAAACTAAAAAAATTTTAAAAAAATTAAAAAATAAAGAAATTATCAGGGAAAGCTGCCCTGATATTCTCGAACTAGAGGATAAAATAGAAATTGAAAGAATTCAACTGTTAACAGCAATAAATTCATATTATTCTCACAATAAACAAAGCAGATAACAATCAGGAAAAAAGGGGTATTACTGTGTTGATATATGTGTGTGTGTGTGTGTGTGTGTGTACACACACACACACACACACACACACACACACACACCTTTTCAGGTAATTGAAAGCATTTGCCAAGTATAGTACTAAGTACTAGAAATATAAATACAAAAAGAGTCACTGCCCTGAAGGTGCTTACATTCTAATGGGCAAGGTGGGTGGGTGGAGGATAATATATAAAGGGAGTGGTGACTTGGGAAATATATTTTGGTCTGGGAAGTCACAGTGATGGTGATCGGAGCTGTAAGGCATTCTGTTGACACCATGACCTTTCTCAAAGGGAAAGTGGAAGTGTTTATTTGATTACTCTTCCCAGAGCTAGAGGTAAAAAAAAGGTAATGGCAGCTGATAGATGTTGTGTCTTGCAAAAAGATGACTGGGTGAGACATGGTTTTGGAGTCAGCTAGATAAGCATAGACTGTTGCCACTCAGGACTGCACAGCTCTAAAGTGGGAGTTCCTACTGCAGCACCCAGCAGTGCAGCAAGGCTGCATTGTAATGCATGGCTGATGGATGGGGGCCCAGGAAAGATGGAGAGAGCTCTCCTTTTCTTACTGATCAGGGCAGCAGGATCTCAGGACAGGAGTCACAGCAGCAGCAGCAGCAGCAGCAGTGGCAGTGTGGCATGATAGAAAGACATGGGGCTGGAAGGTGGTTAGGAGAGGAGTTCATCATTGCTAAATAACACGAGTTGCAATTACAGGTACATTCATTTATGATCCTTTTGGGATTTCTGTTGGTTTCAGTTTGCATGTTCAATTTTTGTATTTTGTTTTCCTGTGCTGTTGTATGTGAGAGTGAAATAGAGTGAGTGGTGAAATAGAGAGAGATCTGACCTTAGAGTCAGTACGGCTTGGTTCAAGACCAGCATCTGACACACACTGGCTGAGCAAGTCACTTAATGTCTCAATGCCCAGGCAAGGTTCTAAAATTGAAGAACTGTTACTGTCTATACTGGTAGAGGGAGTTTCCTATCATTCAACCAATCAGCAAACATATATAGTGCCTGCAACAGATAGGTGCTAAGTGCTGGGGATACAGCAAAACAGTACCTGTCCTCAAGGAGCTTACATTCTAAAGTAGGGAAGATAAGATGCAAACGAATATATGCAAGGCACGCTGGACACAGGATAAATAAGAAATAACAGGGAAGGCACTGAAAGTAAAAGAGATTATGAGAGGTTTCTTGTAGAAGGTGGGATTTTAGTTGGAATTTAAAGAAAACCTGGGCGGTCAGTAGTTGAAGCAGAGGAGAGAAAACATTCCAAGTGTGGGAAACCTCCCGAAAGAATGCTCAGGGCTAAGAGATGGAGTGTCTTTTCTGTGGAACAGTGAGGAAGCCAGTGTCCTTGGATCAGTACATGTTGGAGAGTAAGATGTAAGAAGAATGCAAAGGTGGAGGGGATTGATTCTGAAGGGTTTTGAATGTCAAACAGCATTTTGTATTTGATGCTGGAGGTAATACCACTGGAGTTTATTGACTAGGGGATGACACAATAAGACCTGCATTTCAGGAAAATCACTTTAGTGGCCTAATGGAGGATGAATTGTAGTGGGGAGCAACTTGAGGCAGATAGATCCACTAGCAGGCTATTGCAATAATCCAGGTGTGAGGTGATGAGGGCCTGAACTAGAGTGGTGGTAGTGTCAGGAAAGAAAGGATGTATTCAAGAGATATTATATAGGTGAAATCAACAGGCCTTGGCAACAGTTTGGATATGGGGGGGGATAGGGGGTGAAACATAATCAGGAATTCAGTATGACTCTTAGGTTGTGAGCCTGGGGGTCTGGGAGAATGGGATTGCCCTCTACAGAGACAGGGGAGAAGATAGTGAGTTCTGTTTTGGACATAGAGATTAAGATATCTACTAAATATATAGTTTAAAGGCAGTTGGAGATGGGAGTTTGGAGGTCAGCAATTTGATTGGAGCAAGAATGATAGATTTGAGAATCATCAGCATAGAGATGGTGATTAAATCCATGAGAACTGCTGAGATCATCAAATCATGTAGTATAGAAAGAGAAGAGAAGTGGGCCCAGGACAGAACCCTGAGGGACATCAGCAGTTAAAAAGCATGATCTGGAAGAGGAGCCAGCAAAGGAGATAGATAAGGAGCAGTCAGATAGGTAGGAGGAAAACCAGGAAAGAATAGTGTCCCAAAAACCTAGAGAGAAGAGATTGTCAAGGAGGACAGAGTGATCAAAGGTGTCCTAGGCTGCAGATAGGTCAAAGAGCATGAGGATTGAGAAAAGGCCATTGGATTAGGCACCTAAGAGATCATTAGTAACTTTGGAGAGAGCACTATCAGTGGAATGATAAGGTTAGAAATCAGATTGTAAGAGGTTAAGAAGAGAGTGAGAAAAGAAAGTAGAAGCCTTATTGTAGATAGCCTTTTCAAGGTGTTTAGCTACAAAAGGCAAAAGAGATAAAGGATGCTAGTTAGTGGAGATGGAGCAAGTGAACGTTTTTTCAGAATAAGGAAGACATGATGTTTGGTTGTAGGCAATAGGAAATGAATCAGTAGACAAGCAGAGACTGAAATAAATGAAAGAGTAGGGATGACAGAGGGGGCAGTCTGCTGGAGAAGATGGGATGGAGTTTCCTCATGAGGGAGCTCCCTAGACTGGGGGTGGCCTTGAGGTGGCAGGTGTCCCACCCCTGGTCTAGGAAGATAAAATCACAGGCTCTCACTTCCCTTCTCCCATAAAAAATGCTTCATTTATTTGAATAACTATACTTGTTGGTAGAAGTCACAAATAAACTTGCATTAAGAATAAAATGATATATACATTGACTAGAACTAAGAAGTTAGAGAAAACAAACAACAGTAAAAAAAATTTACATGATATACGTAGTAAAAGGACGTCATTAATTTTCATTCAAAAGGATAATTTGGCAATATATTAAAACCAATATGCACATCTTTTAAAGTGGGCTTCATAAATGTGCAAGTTTACAAACACATAATACAATCACTTGGTTTCTCCTATCCCTCATGTCCAACCACCTGGTCCAAGTTAAACAGAAAAATTAATACTTCTGACAATTTTTCTCTAGTCTCATATTAAAAGCTACAAAAGAGCAGCTTTCTTTAGAGAAAATGATAATTTTTTTGCTTTGGAGATTCACTTTCAGAGATGGAACTTCCCAAATGTTATGGCTGTCATTTTTTTTTTTAGTTATTTAATTGGAACAGGGTAGATATTTTTAGATAAGACTGCTTTGGGGTTTTTTAGTTGTTAAATTTATTGGTACAGATGAAATTTTTAAATGTGGATTTTGGCATCTGGAAATACTCATCCAATGTTCCTTTCAAGATGATTTTCCTTTGCCTTTCCTTCCTGATATTTGTTATCATTATGAATGAAGATAGCTGCTGTGGGTATGTTACATATTTTTGCTAGAAAGAATAACTCTTTGAAAACATTTTTTCTTCTTTGGGCAGATGAGAAGACATTCCAATGTGAGATGTGTTTCAGATTCTTTTCTACCAATAGTAACCTCTCCAAACATAAGAAGAAGCACGGGGATAAGAAATTTTCTTGTGAGGTATGCAATAAAATGTTCTACAGGAAGGATGTCATGTTAGATCACCAAAGGAGACACTTGGAAGGTGAGTGCATTTGGAGTGAATACTTCTGCTATTATTTCTTTTTGCAGTGTCATATTATGTATCAAAATAAATTGAAAATCACTTAGCTGGACCTCTGTACTCAGTTTCCATAAGAAGCTTGGAGGAGAAATATTATGTGTGAATATGTAAGATGCCAAGTACAAGAGAGACATTCCAGTAGAAACAAGAGTGTTAATGCTGTTTTAAAAATTAAGTAGAGTGCTTAGTCTTCTGTTGATGTAATGGGTGTGAATATGAAGTAAAGACTACGTAGTAACAATGGCAGAAAAAGGTTTTGGATGTGAAATTTTTTATTGTATTATTAAGATTTTCTTAAAATGCCATTTTGAAAACTTTTTATCATGAAGCCATACATCCCAAATTGCTTAGACAATGGACACTGGTTAGGATTTGACCTTTTTTTTTTTAAAGGTGATACTTTACATCTATTCTGTATATATCTTATATATCTAGTTAATAACATGTATCTCCCATTGAAATGTATGCTTCCTGGATAAGGACTGCTTTTGCCTTTCTTTGTATCCCCAGAGCTTAGAACTGTTACCTCTTAACAAATTCCTGTTTCCTGGTGGACTGACTTACAGTCTGGTTTCCGTTCCTATCATCCACCTGGAATTGCTTTCTCCAAGGTCATCAATGATCTCTTTATTCCTGTATCTGGTGGCATTTTCTCATGGCTTATTCCTCTTCACTTCTCTAGTATTTGATGCTGTTGACCCTTCCTTCTGGATTCTCTCTTAGTCCTGAATGTTAATGGCATTGCTATTGTGCTTCTACTACATTTTGACTGACTTATCCTTCTCAGTTTCTTTTGCAGAATCATTGTCCATGTCTCACTTGCTATGTCAGGTGTATGCCACAGGGCTCCAACTTGTGTCTTCTCTCTCTGTGCTTTCTTAACAGCTCCCATGAGCTCAACTATCCTATCTATACATATGAATCCCACATCTACATATACAGTTCTCATTTCTTTCCTGAGGTCCAATCCTTTGTCTCTAACTCTGGGCTAGACATCTCTACCTGCATGTCCTATAGGCATCTCAAACGTGTCCAAAATAGAACTTATTATATTTCCCCTTAGACCCTCTTGTTATTCCTGCAGTCCATATTCTGGTTACCTATGTCCACAGCCTGGGAAATGTGCTTAATGATTCACTGTCCCTTGCCCTACATATCTAATTAGTTACCAAGTCTCATTGATTCTACCTCTTTAACATCTCTCCTATCTGTCCCCTTCTCTGTACTCTAACTGTAGTCTAGTTAGGTCTTAATCACGTTTCATTTGAACTATTTTCATGACTTCCTAATTGGCCTTTCCCTTCTCTAATCCATTTTCTGTAGAGTTGCCAAATTGATATTACTAACGTGCAGTTCTGACCCTGTGGCTCTCCTGTTCAAATAACTTCTATAGCTTCGTTTTGCTTCCGGGATAAAGTACAAAATCTTGTGTTTGGTTTTTAAAGCCCTTCCCCATCTGGCTCCAGCCCACCTTTCCAGACTGATTACATGTTCCCTCACTCTCATATACTCAGCATTCTAACCATTTGCAGTTCCCCATACATGATAGTTCACTTCCTGCCTCTGTGCCTTTGCACAGGCTGTATTTCCCCCTTCCCTTCCCATCCCGAATGCTCTCCCTCTTCAGCTCTTAGAATTCCAGCTCCCTTCAAGAGTTGACTCCAGAGGCTCATCTTGGTTCCCTCAGTTGTTGATGACTCAACCCTGCCCCCAACAAAAGCCCTTTGTATTTATTTTGACTTTTTAAAAAAATATTTTGTCTTTATATCACCTGTATTTCCCATTGTATTCCTCTGACTCCTCCCAGATAGCTATCCCTTATAATAAAAAAAAAACAGAAGGGGAAAAAAAGTTTTTCATAGCTAAACAAGATGCCAAAAAAGTTTGACATCACATACAGTATCCTGCACCCATCATCCCATCCATTAGGGAAATTATCTTCCTCATCTCTTTTTGGAGGTCAACCTTGATTGTTATAATTTTGCAGCATTGAGGTTCAATTGTTTAGTTGTTGTTCTTTATATTTACACTATAATAGTTATTGTGTCTGTTGTTTCCCTGATCTTGCCTTTGAATGCATTTTGCATCGTATGTAAGCATGTTTTATCTTCTCAGGAGAATGTAAGCTTCCTGAGGGCAAGGACTGCACTTACTTTTGTATGTGTATACCCAGTACCTAGCCCAGTACTCCATATAAGTAGATGCTTAATAAGAACTTGTTGAGTGATACAAGTCACGTGTTTGAAAAAAGAGCCCCACTATTCTAGACACATTGTTCCTTTCTCAATAGCCATAGGACTTTTTCCCGTCAGATAATGATCAGAATAGAAGCCAGTAGAGGAGCAGTATACAGTTTACTGTGTACAGCATCATAATATGTCACTGTAAATCATATGGGACATTCAGTACTTGCAGTAGGAACTTCCATTGTACGGAATATAAAGACTGATTTTTTTTTTCTTTTCTCTTCTGGTTGGGGGATGGTGTTTGGCAATTTAAGGTGTCAGGCGTGTGAAGAGAGAAGAGTTTGAAAGCAGTGGAGAGAGCGTGGTCCGATACAAGAAGGAGCCCTCAGGATGCCCTGTATGTGGAAAGGTAACAACTGACCATTGGCTTAAGCAAATGTGGAGTCTTTTTTTTACTACATTACTCAATTTTTTATTTGCTTAAGATTATATTACTCAAGAGACAGGAACTAAAACTAGAAATTTCAATCTTAGAGCACTAAAAAAGTAATTCTTTTAAAGTTAGATAAATAGTAGGGTCCAATACTGTTGTTTTATGAGAGTGGTTAATAAACTTTATTTGAAAAACTAAAATGACCAGGCATTTTTATTATATCTTTTTTGTTTTGATCTTTTCACTTTAGGATCAATTGTATATTCCAAAAGAAGCAAGTTTTTCTGCTTTTTTTTTCCTCCAACTGTATGTTCATTTTCTAACCACTCCACTATCACTCCTTCTGCTTTTTTTTTTTTTGCTTAGGTAGTTGGGGTTAAGTGACTTGCCCAGGGTCACACAGCTAGTAAATGTCAAGTGTTTGGTCTGAGGCCGGATTTGAACTCAGGTCCTCCTGACTTCAGGGCCGGTGCTCTATCTGCTGCACCACCTAGCTGCCCCTTCCTCTGCCTTTTTTGAAGCCTTTGGAAAGTTACTCATTGTATTCATAATGGAGAGCCAAGATAAAAACTAGAGATACAGAAATCAAAAGTTTATTCAGCTGGTCTTTTTACTCATCTTTAAAATGTTTATTTTCCCTTTTGCATTGCCAAGCCTGCTTTTTCTGTGACAATGAAAACTAATTCGGTGTCAGACTAAGATGGAAAAGAGAAATCAGCACTAACAGTTGTATCCATATCTTGAATGCTTTAAGAGCACTTAATGAAGTACTCGATAGTATTTCAGTAATTCAGTACCCTTTCCACCAGTACAAATTGTAACACCCACACCCACCCCAATTTCCCAGAACCACATGACTGCTCAGGAGAGCAAGGAGCCATATGATTTCAAAATGGCAGTGAGAGTGGCAAGGTGTTCCTCCTAGGTCAAGCCAAGAGCTGTAGGAACTTGGTCCAGAAGCCATAGAGCCACAATGGCAGTGATGTAGAAGGAAGTTTAGGACAAAGCCTCAGAGAAGAGGTTCTACAGATAATGCCAAGTCTACATCCAATATAAAATATTAGTTTCACTTTTTACGGTGTTAAAAAAACTAGAACCAAAGGTAGGCACCCGTCAATTGGTGAATAACTGAACAATCTATGACATGATTATAATATGAAATATTATTGTTATTTTTAAAATATGAAGAACTTAGAGAAACATGGGAAGACTTGTATTCCATTATGCAATCTGAAATAAGTGGAACAAGAAAAAAACATACACAATGACACCAATATCCTGTTGCCTAATTCCTGCACTGAGAGGAAGCTGTGAGGCACCCAAAGGAGAGATGAATATGAGGGCATAGACAAAGCTGGTGACGCCACTACTGTCTCTCCTCAGACATCAGTAAGAAACTCTGTAGCAGGGACCTCCAGGCCGCTGGCCATGTCTCCAGGCAGGCCTTCCCCCCCATCTCACAGGGGAGTAAACCCCCATGAAGACAGATACCAGCCTAGTTGCTGTACCTCTTCTGCTGTAGCTGCTACTTCTTCACCAGCCACAATTCCCAAAGATCCAGAAGGAAAGTTCTCACTGCAACTTGGCTGTATCAAATAGAAATGGATATGGTTTTTATCACTTGAAATAACATCAAAGAGGATGTATTTGTGCATCTGCCTTATCTCCTCTCTATACTCCAGCCAGATTGTATTACTTGGTATTTGAATCATAAGGCCTTACCCTCTAAGGCCTGAGCATAGCGGATAGAGTGCTAGTATTAGAGTCAGGAAAACCTGGATTCAAATACGTCCTCAAACATTTTCTATGCAAAGTGAGTCATTTAACATCTCTCTTGGCCTCAGTTTGTCATCTGTATAATAAAGGGGTTGAACTAGATGTCCTCTAAAATTCCTTCTAAATCTGAATCTATAATCCTCTGAGCACTGGACCTTTCTATATACCCTGTAGCCAAACTTTTCTATGTAGTTGTCTCCCTCTTTAGAATGTGGGTTCCATGAGAACAGGAACTGTCTCACTTTTCTATTTCTTATTTCCAGTGCGCTTCACATAAGAAGTGCCTAATCAATGCTTTCTTTCATTCATTCACTCAGTAACATAAATGAAAGCAGTAAAGAAAAGCTGGATTGTTAAGTAATTATGGTGACTGACCTTGATCCCAAAGTAAATCATACCTCCTCCTCTGAGATTTGGGGGACTATGAGTATGCCCACACCATCCGATGCAGTCACTGTGTCTGTTGATTTTGGTTTTACTTAACTGTTTTTCTTAGAATGAAGAATTCTGTAGGATTGGGAGAGGAAAGTAGCATTGCTATATCCAGAACTGTGGTGTAAAAACAAAATACATCAATAAAACTTTTTAAAAAAAAATTAGGTGCAATTGTTACAAAACAGTAAAATTCTTTTACTGAATTAGAAAAAATAAAATTCATTTGGAGGAACAAAAAGTCAAGAATATCAAAGGAAATAATGAAATAATGTAAAGGAAGGAGATTTAGCAGTAAGAGATCTCAAACTATATTACAAGGCAGTAATTATCAAAACTTTCTGGTACTGGCTAAGAAATAAAAAGGTAGATCAATGGAATAGAGCACATATACAACTTAAAGCAGCAAATAAACATTATAACCTTGTATCTGACAAGTGTAAAGACTTAAGATTTTGGGATAAGAATTAATTATTTGGTAAAAATTGTTGGGAAAAATCAAAAAGCAATATGGCAGAAACTGGGCAGAGACTAATATCTTATACCATTTACCAAGATAAAGTTAAGATGGACACATGACCTAAATATAAAGAGAGATATTACAAGAAAATTAGAAGAACATGGAACATATTACTTATCAGACTTAAGGAGAGTTGAACAATTTATAAATGAACAAGAAATAGAAAGCAAAATTAAGTGTAATTACATAAATTAAAAAGGTTTTGTACAAATAAAATAAATGTAGCCAAGATCAGATGGAAAGCAGAAAATTGGGGGGAAAATTTTATAGACAGTTTCTCAGATAAAGGTCTTATATCAAAAATATATAAAGAACTTTGTCAAATCTATAAGACTACAAGTCATTCCCCAATTGATAAATGGTCAAAGGATATGAACAGGCAGCATTCCAGTGAAAAGATCAAAACAAGTTATAGTCATAC